TCCTCCTCCTCCTCCTCCTCCTCCTCTTCCACCTCCTTTGCCTCCTCAGTCTGCAGTTTTGGGTGGCCTACAACTTGTTATGTATTCCAGGCTCACCTCTGCCTCTGCCTCTCTACCTCTCTCTCTGCCTCTCTGCCTCTCTCTCTGCCTCTCTGCCTCTCTCTCTGACTCTCTGCCCCTCTCTCTCTCTGCCTCTCTGCCTCTCTGCCTCTCTCCTCTCTGCCTCTCTCTCTCTGCCTCTCTGCCTCTCTCTCTGCCTCTCTGCCTCTCTCTCTCTCTACCTCTCTGCCTCTCTGCCCCTCTCTCTCTTTGCCTCTCTGCCTCTCTCTCTGCCTCTCTGCCTCTCTCCTCTCTGCCTCTCTCTCTGCCTCTCTCTCTCTCTGCCTCTGTCTCTCTGACTCCTGAATGCTGAGATTACTGGTACACACTGCCATGTCCTGCCACCTTTTCTTCCTAAAACTGAACCATATTCCCCTGTGTGGATACACCACATTTTGTTTCTCCATTCACTTGGGAACATGTTTTGGCTTTTGAACAACACTTGTATATTCTGTGAACATACAAGTACAAATATAGTGTATATACAATACAAATATACTGTTTCTTTCTGGTTTAATTTATACCATGGAACAGTGTAACAGCTTTGCTACCTGCTCCCCTCGCCTTCCTTTGTCAGGCTCCACTTACCTGTGGGCTACCATGGCCGGGCTTCCTCCATTGTGGTGTCTGGCACCCCAATCCGAAGACCTATGGGGCAGATGAGACCTGATAACTGTAAGTGACTTTAGTGTTTGGGTCCTACCAGTGCCCAGCTCTGTCCCCTCACCATGAACTCTGTAGCCTGGCACTCAAAGCTCCTTTTATCTGGTATCTTTCCAGCAAAGCCTCCTGTGTATGGAGCCTGCAAACTGCTGGACATGGAACTGGAAATGGTGAGCTATGTGTAAAGTTTTATTGACTGGGCCTGTGGCAGGAGAGTTCCTTATGGGACAGCAGTTCACCTGTCCAGCCTCAAGTAATAGCCCTGTGATTCCATCTGCCACTGGGTGCAGTTGAGCCTCATTCTTCAGAGTCTGTATTCGTAAATTCACTGATTTACTAAAACTTATTTTCAGCCCCAATATTAACACAAGTTATTCACACACAGAACAGTGGAAATTTTGAGTCTCCAAATGTACGCGTGTCCCCAGCCGAGGTCAGGAAAAGCTCCTTCGTATTCTAGTTTTGGATCTCATCCTCTAAACATGAGCTATTTCCTGGTCTGTTTTTTGAAATGTTTTTCACATTTTTGTACTCTTTGGGGTGATTTTTCTATGTATAATGGCCCCCAAGTGCAGAGTCCATGTGCAGTCATACGTTCCTGCATGCAAGAGGGTGGATGTCGCTTATAGAGATCTATGTTAAAGAAGCCTATTTACATCCAAGTTCTAGTGTGTTTGATGGGGAAGTCAATACTAACAAGTCTACAGTCTGTTCTAGATGTCTAACGGAAACAAAAATATGTTTAGATAGAATTATTTATTGGTTAGTTGGTGGATGTTGTGCTCAGAGAACCCAGCCCTGTGCATCTCTAAGGAGCACTGGTTCAGCTTGTCAGTTCATGTTCATGGTAACTTTCTAGAACATAATTTTCATGAACAAGAAGTATCAGTCAGTCATGTCTAGTCCACAGCACCCTGGGCCTGCACCACCTCAGATGTGTGGTTATTTCAAGGCTATACTTTTTATTTAAATTAAGTGTTTTAATTTGAGATCTTGGTAGACTCACATGTGGTTGTGAGAAACAGTGTGGAGATCCCAGTGGCTCTACCTGGTGTGTTCACAGTGCAGTGTGTAACTCCAATACTGACATGGGCACCATTGGGTCCAGCATCCCCAGGGTCCCCCACACTACAAGGTTTCACTTTTTCTTTTTCTTTTCTTTTTTTGTTTTTTTGAGACAAGGTCTCCCTGTAGCCCCAATTGGCCTGGCACTCACTACGTAGACCAGACTAGCCTCGATCTCACAGATCTGCCTGCCTCTGCCTCCCAAGTGCTGCAACTAAAGGTGTGTGCCATCACGCCTGGCTAAGGCTTCACTTTTTAAGAGGGACACTGACCTCTGGCAACCCTCAAGGGAAGGGACCAGGAAAGCAGTGGGATGTAGGAGCTGACCTGGAGAAAGGAGGGCTCTGGGGCACAAGAACTGTCTTCAGTGTCTGTGGGTTGTCCCATGACTGGTGGAACCAGGCCTAGAGGGGACAGTGCAGGCTGATGAATGGACTGACTCTCCTGGATTAGCATTAAGGTTTGAGGGGGTGCCTTGAAAGCTATGAGTGCCTCACTCCTGCAAGGTATAGAAACCCACACCAATGGTGGTGGAAATCAGGCTTAACTTTATGGGAGCTCCCTGTCGCAGCCCCCTGCCCCATGCTTTCTTTAGACTTGGATCAATGAGAGAAATAGGTAGGTCCTGGCAAGTCATCCCCAGGTGGCAGGGAGTTCCCCACCAGCCCTCTGCCTCCACAGTCTTACTGAGAGAGCTTCAGAGGACCCTTGGGGGAGGCCCCCAGCAGAGATTTTCCAGGGCAGGCTCATGAGCTGTGGTTTAGGGCCAGGGTCGTTTTTCTGGAGGAATGGATTCTGGCTTCTCTGTGCTGGTTCACTGTGGGGAGAAAAGGCTGCAAGTCAGTGTAGGGATGTTGGGGCCACGAGTACAGATCCCTTGAACTTGAAAGTGGTGGAATCCTCTATGGTGCCTCTATGGTCTCCCCTCCCTCCATTATTTTTTTATCTTGGTGAAAAATTTTTGATGTTTAAACATTGTCATAGAATGGATAAAACTGTGACTCTGATTTCACAAACATAGCTCACCCTGCTTTTAAAGGAGATGCCCTTCTGTTTCTTCTACCCACGCCTGGATGTTCTATTGGTTCCTTACCATCATACAGGTGCCAGACCTTTGGGAACAGCTTAGGGTGGGATGTCACCCTTCAGGTGCTCCCAGCTTGAAGACATCCTGATGTTTTCCTTCCTCACAAGCCACATACAGCTGTCAGATTTTAAAGTATGAAGTGTAGAGTGAAGGAAGGGGCAGAAAGGCCTGGGGCACCCTGGGGTTAGGAGGTAGCTCTAGTGGGGCTGGCAGGAGGAGGTGGGCATGGTCACATGTAATTCTTAGAGATCCAGTATATTTGTACCAGGCCTTCAGGCAGTCCTGGTCCCTGACTGGGGTTTGGAACTATGTGTCCTTTGCTCTCCAAGTCACAGTGGCCCAGGGTGAAGGGTCATTGGGATTCTAATCAACTTTCTCCATGGCAGGCTTTCTTTGTAGGCCCTGGGAACAGATTTGGAGAGCCAATCCCCATTTCCAAAGCCCATGAACACATTTTTGGGATGGTCCTCATGAACGACTGGAGTGGTAATACCTGGTGGCCCGGGGCCCTGTGATGCTCTGCCCTGGGGGGATACATAGGGGTTGGACTAGTCACAGCTTCCCAGACCTCCAGCGTCCTTGTGTGTGGAAGAGAGATAAGGCTGACAGTAACTAATCCTGTGTCTGGGCCTACCCATCTCCACACACTCTCACAGCATCATGAGCCAATTTTGGAGATAAAAAAACTGAGGCGTGGAAGGATTTTGGTCACTTGCCAGGCTGAGACTTGATGCTCAGCAGCCCAGCCTCTTGAGCTGTAGCTCTCCTTGACACCCCTGTAGGAGAAAGTTGCTGTCTCATGTCCCAGGAGGGGTCCCTCCCTCCCTTCAGTCCCTTCATGAGGATTTTCCTGCCACCTTTTGCTTTATTCTGGCACAGTGCCTTCAAGGACCTTTGTCTCCATATTGAACATCCTTCCCCTTGGTCCTAGGGAAACCTGGTTTGCTAGAGCCCTTGTAGAGAGTCCCATGCTGGTCAAGGGCAGGGGCTAGACTTGGGGTGAGCCTATCAGCCATTGTGAGCCCCGGACTTGCTTTTCTGCCATAGCACGAGACATCCAGCAGTGGGAGTATGTCCCCCTTGGGCCATTCCTGGGAAAGAGCTTTGGAACCACCATCTCCCCATGGGTGGTGCCCATGGATGCTCTCATGCCGTTTGTGGTGCCCAACCCAGAGCAGGTAAGCCTCCCTCTGCTGGAAGCCCTGATGCCACCCCACTCCATCTTGCCACCCTGAGCATGCACTGCCACTGGGTGAAGCTCTGAGCCCTCAGGCCTAACCCCAGTAGAGTACCTGGAAGATCCTGGCACAGTGACCAGGCAGCCATAACTCCAGGGGTTTCTCTACCCCAGCAAAGTTTATAGGGAAAACTTAACTTTGCAGCTTTCAGCCTTCTGAGTCCTTTAAGGCCAGGGGAGCTGGCAATAGGCGGGAGCAAAGGTCCCAGGCAAAACTACTATATTGCAGCTCTCCTAGCTGCTATTAAGTTTTGGTCTGTGCAATAGCGCCCCCTGGAGTCCAGCCTGTAGAATGCATTTTGAAGTAGTATGGACTGGGTGGCACCTCCTCAGTCTGGTGGCCTCATTCTCCCCGAGCCTGTCAACAACCTGTTCTGTCCCACCTTCTCACCACCAGGACCACTCCCCAGTCACCCCAGTCTTTGGGCCACCACCTCCTTGAAGACCCTAACTCCCTGTGTGTTCTCTCAAACTTGACTCTGACAAATGACCGATCACTTCCTTCCATGTCTTTGGATGTAACTCTCTCTTCCATGTGGTAGGGGCTCAGCACCTGGCGTGTT